CCCCCCACCCCCACAAAATTAGTGGGTCTATGTTAGAAAAAGGATGACATGAAGAAAATAGTTCCAATATGTCCTTGAATTCAGCCGTGTCCAAGAACATGAGGTGATTAATATTTGCTTAGGCTAAGAATGGCTGTGAAGACCTTAACGAATTCCCCAGGAAGTCATAAACAGTAAAAATAAAGCAAAAATGAAGAGCTTTCAAGAAATTACCTGCAAGGATAAGAAATATATCGACTTTATGGGGAGGAGCACTCTGTTTTCCCCAGCTCAGCGCTCAACATATGGTGGAGAAGCATCTGAACTCTCTGACTCCTTGTCTTCGTGCTGAAAAAATTGGGGGAAAACAGGAAAATGTTGATCCAGATTAAGTATCATTCTAAATTTATAAAGGGATATTTCTGAGAAGTGTCAAGTCAATTGCACATACCCCACATTACGTCGTCGATGCCCCTGATGAATTTCATCCTGGATTGCGAAGGAATACAGGTTGACTTAGTGGTTCTTACATATCAATTCAAAATCAAAAGTATGAACATGAATGGCTATAAGGTAAATCATATATACAAATCCATGAATTATGGCCGAATAACAAACCCACACATAAATATAAGCACCTTTTAAGCTTAGCTTAGCAAAATATTAAAATAATCTGGAAATCATTTGGATTTCCAAGATACTTCCTTCAAATGTAGAAGACGCAATCTATAATGCACTCGAAGACATTAAATAAATAACTTTTATTTCTCTCTCACAACTTAAGCTTAAAAATTAAGTGGTCAATTACCACTGTATCAAAGCTACACTTGAAAATTTGGATATGTCATGTTTATATAACTTTCATCAATTTATACACAATTCCCTTGTTTGTGCTCGTGACTGCATCTTTTTTGCTGTTTCTTGATTGAGCCAAAGTGCCCTTTAATTGATTCACCTCTTCACATACAAATGGGAGTTGCATGGCAAGAAGTATTGCCCAGCTTGTCCACATTGAAAAAACTATAAGCTCCCAAATGAGCACGAGTCTGGTGATCTTTCCACTAATTACTATTGGGTTTTATTTATAACTCCACAAGCTTAATTATGAGTGTTTTATTATGGCATAAGATCTTGGTTTTCATGAACCACATGAGACTTAAATACAATTCTTAGGTAGTTATAACTTAATGGGCTCTACTCTTAACTAACACTACATGATCTCTTCACATGGCTAACCTATCACTTGTCTCTTTGCCCACAGTCGAAACTCACAAATTCTTCACTAACCTTGCCAGTTGCATCTTCACATTTCTCAGAAGTTTCAAGATCCATTTCAGCGAAGAAAGCCTCCAATACGAATGCCACAACCTGAAATGATATTTTCCAAAAGATTATGAAGTTATTTTTTACAATATTGACAGAATGGGATTCAGTAAAACAAGATGGATAGAATGAATTTCAATAACTCCTGACAAGGTCTGACAAACAAAGCACTTCAAAATAACAAATGGTGACGAATTTGAAACTCGTATCTCAATTTAAGTCTCTTGATTTCAACTTTACTAATTGTTTTGGTAATCTAACAAGGAAATCTTAACTAACTTACAATAACCATTGAATCACAGAAAAAGAAAATCTCCTCTGCCTGTTCCTACTTTTCTATAAGGGAAAAAATTTGAAGGGAAGGGTCCCTTCCAAAAGAAATAATAAAATCCTTTCCCCTTCTAAATACTTGCATTATTAGATATATTATCATGCCGCAATGTCTAAAATTCATAATTCTAAATTAAAGATAATATATCGTTATACGTTTAACTCAACTAACTCCATAAACAAATTAGCTTAAGCCAGTGTACATAACTAAATAACGAAATACATGTGGATATCCATTAAACAAAATCTAGAACTCCCATACTAGTCCTGTAATTTGTTTAATCCATATTACAATGAGGCAAATGATGCTTGTTATCATTTCTAGTCTTTTTCTTCTTTTCTATTTCCACCCTGCCGTGTAATCACATTAGATAAATTCCACATCATTATAAGAGAGAGCGATTTCAATGAAATTGATGTGTAAAAGTATATACGGTCTGTTTAAGCATATAAAATGTTTTCCAAAATTTCGACTTTTCATATGCAATGTGAAAAGTTTTCCCCAAATTTCTTGAGTTATTTAGCAATACCGAACATAAATACAGGTTCTATCAAATTTGTTATTATTATAAGCAGCACAGCAACACAGACATGTCACTACTTAGTATTTCAATTGACAGAAGCCATAGGACAGGACCCTAGCAATTAGCTACAGCTTACCAAATTCAGTAGTAGTAAGATTGTAATAAGATAGAAGCTGACGAAGTATGCATAAGACCATGCAGTTCCAGTCAAATCCTTGTAGCCCTGAAATTTCAGCCACCAGAAATTACAATCACATAATGGAAAATGACAGAATATGACATTGTTGCCACTATACTACGTATCGCAGCTGTCCATTAACAATTTAACAGGAACTTCATTTATAATGTTCGGGTGCAATGCCAAGTAAAAAAGAGGATATGGACTCTCATAAATTTCGGCATATACCTATGCATATAAATAAAATCTATTCCAAAATAAACTTAGGCTCCTTAAAAATATCATTCAATTCAAAAGAGCTGATCTCCACCCTCACATCCTTTCCATGCGAGCGCGCACACATTCAAAAATGAAAAAGAAAAGAGAGAGAAAGAAAGAAGAAAAGGATAAAAAAATTCTCTTCTAATATGGCAGTACATTTATGTCCATTCATAAATTATATTATAGGTTGATACATGTTCAGCATCGAACATAGATAAGGAATTTTACATTCCTTATTATTATTATTATTTTTTTTCCGAACATCCTTTTTCCCTTTCTTGTTTTTCCTCTATATTGGCTAACATATTCCTGTAAGACTGCTTATTTGAGGAGTAAATTGCTCAGATTCAGGAGATCGTTGGTTAGGTAACATGATGGACAATATCTAAGGTGAAGAATGAAAGGAACTCTTTGGAATAAATACATATATTCTTTGTCATATCTTGATCTCATAATTGTCTTCTAAGCATCTCACACTGTAAAGCCTGTCTATGATCTAACCAATGTTGACCTCATATTTTTTTAATTATATTGCTCAAGTAATAATATTTCAACCTATAATAAATTGGCCAATTCTGGGATTCAAGCTCACTAATGTCACTGCTAGATAACAGCCCAACCCTCGCTGAAGAACGCACTACATTATTTGTTGTTCATAGCAAATATTATAAACCCATAGTAATCGCAGTATGAAATCGAAAACTCAAATGAAAAATACAGAAAAGAAGATGTTGTCCAAAAAAAAAAAAGGGGGGGGATTCCCGCAGATAATCATGATCTATGTGCAATACCTGAATCCACATTTGCCAGTTCCCCATAACTAGTAGATTGAAAAGTGTTACCATCCCATTTGGGTAGTCATTGAAGTTGAAGAGTAAGTAGCTTAAATTTGTCAAGGAATTAGAGCCAGGAAATTGATAATTAATGAAGAATTAGCAGCTCAACAAGAAATTTTCTTTGGCAATTTGTATAGGTAGAGGTGATGACGGATCTAATGGAGTGACATGAATGAATTCATTACAATTGATTGAGTGTTAGTTTTTATTTTCTTTTTTGTTTTTAATTTAAATTTTGTTGAGCTCAAAAAATGAAGATGCTCAAATAGATAATACATCTTTACTGATTAAATTAAGATAGCCATAATATTGAGATGGATTGGATTATGATTAAAATTTGGTAAAATTGTTTCATAAAATCTACAAGAGCATCATTCATGATGAAGGATACTCATTATCATAGAGATCAGTGCCTTCAAGATTTGGATTCCCAGCATTGACAATCCCCCCAAAGATCTGCAAATTGAAGAAGAAGATAAATGCTTCACAAAGTGAAATAAATTAAGGAAATGAAACAGGAAGAAATATCCATATTTTTACAATTTTCAGATCGCCAATTATATCTACTAAATAGAAATGAACTATATCCATATTTTTACAATTTTCAGATCGCCAATTATATCTACTAAATAGAAATGAACTCCAGAACATTTTCAAAGTCGTGAAAAGTACCTCAAATAATATCAAGCTAAAGGGAATTAAAAGAAAGATTCAAAATACATTAGAAGCAGGTACCTGTACACCAAGA